TTTAATATTTTTTAAATCTATCTTTGTGTTTTTTTTTTGGTTGCCCCTAACTCTTTGAAAACAATGGAAGTAATGGATGTAATGGTGTAGCAATAAAGGATAAAGAGTAATGGATAGAAAAATAATAATAGGCATCCACTCATTTGATCTAGGACATGCAATGAATATTAAAAAGACATATAAAAGTGTAACATGCATTCCTTGGGGAAAATAGGGTGAATATATATATATATTATATTTTAAGAATCAAACCAAAGGCTCAAAGTGGCTAACAAAGGATAATAAATGATAATAGGTTGGCTATTTGGCTTTTGGCTATTTTTTATGAATGCCATCTCTCATCTCCTATCAAACAAGTGCGAGATATGTGGTCTTAATTAAGAAGTGAAACAAATTCTAGAGGGTAACATCACTAAGGAATTAATCACACATGAGTGTTTAGCCTCTTCCATGAAGGGTAATATGCCACTCTAATCCATTAATTCAAGGTAAAAGAATATTCACTTCACACCTATTCAATCCTAAAAATTACCACATCTCAAGAATCAAAATATCCATTTAAGAGCTAGGTAATTAAGTAACCTCAAACAAAACAAAACAAAGCAATTTTTTTATTTTTTTTTTAAATTTTTTTTTTTGCAAAACCAAACAAACAAACAAAATGTTTATTTCTCTCCCCCACACTTAAATCATGCATTGTCCTCAATGTATGTATAGACTAGTGATAAAATAAGGTGAGATCAATAATGAATGCATAACAAAAGTGTGGTGCAGATATTTTTTTTTTCAAACTAAAACACAAAACAAAGAAGTCAAATAAAGCAAATAACTCTAATTTTCCTACTAGGTTCATCTCCCCCACACTTGAACTATACCTATCATTAAATATATCAATTAAAGGAAGTAAAAGCTCAAGGTTGGAGAGATACAACCTTATCATGGTGGTTCAAAAACATGTTGAGAGAAGTCCTCCTCCTTTTGAAGTGATTTGGCATCTTTGTAGAGCTTGCATAGGTGACCATTGATTTGCATAGTGGAACCCGTGGCTTTATTCAAGAGTTGCAAAACCCCATAGGGAAACACCTTGGTCACTAGATATGGTCCCTCCCACTTAGACTTCAACTTGGCATGCTTATGAATAAACCTTGTTTGAACAAGAGGACTTGATCTCCTTCTTGGAACTTTTTCCTCAAGATTAGCTTGTCATGAAGGATCCTTGTTTTCTCCTTATAGATTCCTAGAAGACTCATAGGCATCCAACCTAAGCTCCTCAAGTTCTTGCATTTGAAGAAATCTCTCCTTAGCCGAAAGATGGAAATCCAAGTTAGTTTCTTGATGGCCCAATAGGCCCTATGCTCTATCTCCACAGGGAGGTGGCAAGCCTTTCCATACACCAATCGAAAAGGAGACATGCCAATGGGAGTCTTATAAGCGGTCCGATAAGCCCACAAAGCATCCTCTAAGTGTAAAGACCAATCCTTCCTATTTGTGTTCACCACCTTGGTTAGGATCTTCTTGACTTCTCTATTTGATACTTCGGCTTGGCCATTAGTTTGGGGATGATACGGTGTAGAGATTTTGTGATGCACCCCATATTTAGCCAAGAGAGCCTTCATCATCTTGTTGCAAAAGTGGGATCCTTGGTCACTTACCAAGGCCTTAGGAACTCCATACCTACAAAAAATATTAGATTTGAGAAACTTCAAAACAATCTTAGCATCACAAGTTCTAGTAGGAATGGCTTCAATCCACTTTGAAACATAATCAACACCAAGTAATATGTACTCAAAACTAAAGGATGGTGGAAAGGGACCCATGAAGTCAATGCCCCAAACATCAAAAATCTCACAAAAAAAAATGGGTTGTTGAGGCATTTCATGTCTCTTACCCCAACTACTAACCTTTTGACATTTCAAGCATGCTTTACAAAATTTATAAGAGTCTTTAAACAAGCTAGGCCAATACAATCCACAATCTAAAACCTTCCTAGCTGTCTTATTTGAGCTAAAATGACCACCACATGCATGAGAGTGACAAAATTCAAGAACAGAAGGCACATCAACATCATCAACACACCTCCTAATCACTTTATCACTACAAATCTTCCACATCAAAGGTGGTTCCCAAATGTAAAATCTAGACTCTCTTTTCAATTTTTCAATGGCAAAACGTGAAGCACAAGGAGGCAAGACTCCACACTCAATATAGTTAGCAAAAGAGGCATACCATGGAGGCTTAGATGAAATGGCACACAATGCCTCATCAGGAAATGAATCACAAGGAATAGTAGGGTTAGAGTTTACCATAGTAGCTTTTAAATGAGGTAGTCTAGACAAATGATCCGCTACTTGATTGGTAGAACCACTCCTATCCCTTATCTCCACATCAAATTCTTGCATCAAGATCACCCATCGAATCAAGCGAGGCTTAGAATCTGTCTTCTTAAACAAGTACCTCACAGCAGCATGGTCAGTGTACACAACAACTTTAGAGTTAAGAAGATATGATCTAAACTTATCAAGTGCAAAAACAATAGCAAACAACTCTTTCTCAGTTGTGGTGTAATTAACCTGAGCTGAATCTAGGGTCCTAGATGCATAAGCAATCACATATGATAACTTGCCCTCTCTTTGACCAAGCATAGCTCCCACAGCAAAATTAGAAGCATCACATGACAACTCAAAAGGCAAAGACCAATTTGGGGCTTTAAGAATGGGAGGGGAAATGAGCATGCTTTTCAAAGTGTCAAAACTCCTTTTGCAAGCATCATCAAAAACAAAATCAACATCTTTTTGTAAGAGTTTAGACATAGGCAAAGCAATTTCACTAAACCCCTTTATAAATCTCCTATAAAAGCCTGCATGTCCCAAAAATGATCTCAAATCTTTCAAACAAACAGGATATGGCAAAGAAGCAATCACATCTACTTTGGCCTTATCCACCTCTATGCCATTGGAAGAAATCAAATGGCCTAAAACAATTCCTTTATCTACCATGAAATGGCATTTTTCAAAGTTAAGCACAAGCTTCTTTTCAATGCACCTACCAAGCACTTTATCTAAAGAATGCAAGCATGAATCAAAGGACTCACCATACACAGTAAAATCATCCATAAAGACTTCCATGCAATGTTCAATAAAATCACAAAATATGGACATCATGCATCTTTGAAAAGTACCAGGTGCATTGCAAAGACCAAAAGGCATCCTCCTATAGGCAAATGTACCAAAGGGGCATGTAAAGGTAGTCTTATCTTGGTCACTAGGAGCTATAGGAATCTGAAAATACCCACTAAACCCATCTAGGAAGCAATAATGGGACTTGGAAGCCAATCTCTCAAGCATTTGATCAATAAAAGGCAAAGGAAAATGGTCCTTCCTAGTCACATTATTGAGCTTCCTATAGTCTATGCACACTCTCCAAGCATTTTGAACTCTAGTTGGAACAAGCTCTCCTTTCTCATTTTTTACCACAGTAATCCCCCCTTTCTTAGGTACAACTTGGGTTGGAGACACCCACTCACTGTCAGCTATAGGATAGATGATCCCAGCACTAAGTAGCTTAACAACCTCTTTCTTTACCACATCTAAAATCAATGGGTTAAGTCTCCTTTGTGGTTGCCTAATGGGCTTAGCATTGTCCTCAAGAAAAATTTTATGTGTGCACACAATAGGGTCAATACCAGGAATGTCAGCCAAAGTCCAACCAATAGCATGTATGTTCTTTCTCAACACATCAAGTAATGCATTTTCTTCCTCAAGAGATAAAGAGTTAGAAATTATTACCGGAAGCTTCTCATTCTCAATGAGATATGCATACTTGAGATTGGATGGTAAAGGCTTCAACTCCAAGGTAGGTGGCTCTACACAAGAGGGAATGAGCTTCTTCAAGTCTAATTTGGTGGAATATTCCATGGTACTATCTTGTCTTTTAGGCTTCTCACTTGTTTTTGATTTCTCCTCTTCTTTCTTTACAGCCTCCCCCTTTTCTTGCAACTTGTCCTCAAGTGCTTGGACTTGAGCCACGGCCTCGACATGTGAAAGTGTAGAATTTTCCTCCAATAGCTTGGGAATCCTAAGAACATCAAGCTCGAGTGGAGAAAAACTCATAGATTCGGCCTTAATGGCTTTAGTACCTACAACACAAGAAGATATACCCTTCTCAAGCATTTCAAGATCAAGCATAGGAGATATTTTAAACAAATCATGAGAAGAAGTAGTTGCATCATTCAAGCATGCATCAATCTCTAAACAAATAGGACAACTACATCCATCAATACATGTAGTAGTAACAAGAGACAAATCATCATCAACATGTGAGAAAGAATCAAGCATGTGAGACTCACAAGCATCATGAAGCAATAACTCAATGGAACTTACACCTAACAAAGAATAATCCTCAAAAGGATGTTTCATTGCTTCATATATATTAAAAATAACATGATCCTCTCCACATTTCAAAATCAAACTACCTTTTTCCATGTCAATCAATGTACGGGCAGTCCTCATAAATGGCCTTCCTAAAATCAAAATATCATCCCCACTCCCTTCTTTTGACATATCAAGCACATAGAAATCCACAGGAAATAATAGACCTTTAACACAAACCAACAAGTCTTCTACTACTCCATGTGGTCTTCTAACACTTCTATCCGCTAATTGGCATATCATAGGTGTCTTATGCATGCAATCAAGACTCAAGGCATGATAAATTGAAAGAGGCATAACATTAATGGCTGCACCTAAGTCTATCAATGCATGAGAAAAATGTGTGTTGCCAATCTTGCATGGAATTGTGAAGGAACCAGGGTCCTCACATTTTATAGGGAGTTGAGGCTTCATGATAGCACTCACAGATGAGGGTAATTGTACCCTTGCATTAGGCCTAAATTTTCTTTTATTTGTACAACAATCTTTCAAAAATTTGGCATACTTAGGAAAGTTCTTAACTACATCCATCAAGGGTACATTAACATGAATCTTATGGAAGAAATCATATACCTCTTGATCAAATTGTCCCTTTACTTGCTTAGGGACCACTTGTGCTTGTGGAAAAGGAAGCTTCTTCATAATCTCTTGACTTTGCTTTCCTTCTTCCTTCCTTGAACTCTCCTTTCTTGTTTCACTTTGCTCGGCCTCTCCCTCTTTTTCCTTACTAAACAACTCGGCCATAGTCCCCTTTTTCACCTTAGATGGTGGTTGCTCACATATGATCTCCTCAATGTTTTCATCCTCATCATCTCTACAAAAAGATGCATCATTAGGAGCAAAAGAAGAACTAGAAACATTAACATCAATTGAAGAATTTAAAGAGGGCTTCTCGGCCTTCCCTTGTCTTTTGTCTTCTTGCACTCTTTCTCCCAACTCCTTGCCACTCCTCAATGTGATAGCATTAAGATTAGCTTTAGGATTAGCAACGGTGTTGGATGGTAATGTAGAGGCTTGAGCATTGGCTGCACTTAATTGGTTAGCAAGCATATTCATTTGAGAAGTAAGGGCATCAATTTTAGAGTTCATGTTCTCACACTTGTTACCCATACTCTCTACCTTGTTCCCTAAGCCATCATACATGTTTTTATACAAGGAGTTCATTTCAATCAACTGCTTACGTAACACATTCACATCATTAGAAGAGTTGAATTAGAAGAACTCTCAATTGGAACAAGCCTCCTATCACTATAAGAATTAGAAGAAGGTGCAAGAGAATTACCACTTGGATTGTAGCTTTGAGAAGAGCTACCTTGAGACAAATGAGGTGGAGGGTCACGGCCAAAGGTGTTTTGATAGGATCCTCTTTGTTGATTGTCTTGTAAAGCCACATTTGGATTTGAATAGGAGAAATTAGGATGGTCTCTCCATGAAGGGTTGTAAGTATTAGAATAAGCTCCTTGCCCTTGCCTCCCACCATAGGATTGTTTTCCATTGTAGATAGCATTTACTTGTTCAAACTTAATAGGACAATTGCTTTCTACATGCATAGGTGAGTCACAAAAAGTACAAGAATAAGGGACAAGTGCTTGAGAAGTACTTACATTGCTCACTTGAGATATTTGTGGAGCCAACATTCTCCCAATCTTGGCAGCTAGCAAGTCCACATATGAATCATTAAGAATTGAGGAACCTACCATATTCACATTTCTCTTTTCCCTTGTAGAGTATTGAGCACCACTTGAAGCCATCTTGTCAATTAGTTCCCAAGCCTTTAAGGAAGTGAGGTCAATCAAGCATCCACCACTAGCGGCATCAATGTTAACTTTGTCTCTTGGAATCAAGCCCTCATAGAAATATTGGACTAAATTCTCACTAGAAATTTGATGGTGTGGGCATTTAGCCAAAAGGCCTTGGAATCTAGTCCAATACTCATAGAGACTCTCATCCTCTCCTTGTTGGACCCCATAGATTTGCTTTCTCAAATTGGTGACCTTGGAATTTGGAAAGAATTTATCTAAGAAGAGTCTTCTTAGCTCGGCCCATGTGCTCACTTTCACATAAGAAGGGTAGTTGAAATACCACTCCTTTGCTAAACCTTCAAGAGAAAATACAAAAGCCTTAGCTTGAACATCATCAACATTTACATGCATAGGCTTCATAGTATCACAAACCAATAGGAGAGTATGCAAAAACCTATGGCAATCCTCTCCCGGTAACCCATGAAATTTAGGCAATGCATTAATCAAGGAGGATTTAATTTCAAATTGAACATTAGTAGGAGGAACATATAAGCCATAAGGATTATCATGCCAATTAGGTTGAGTTAATTGCCTAATGCTCCTCTCCTCTCTAGGGTTATGCAAGCCTTCAAATTCATTATTAACATGGCCATCATCATGCAAATTCTCATTCCCATTCCCATGGCCCTCATTATGCACATGCTCATGTCCTAAGATACCTTCCATTGTTGAATTACAAACCAAATGAGAATCAAGAATAGGTTGTGATCTTCTCAATCTAGAAATAGTTCTTTCAATTTCTGGATCTAATTCAACAAAAGAGGTATGTTTTCTTCGGGTCATGCACTAATCAAGCTCAAGAAAATTAAGAACAAAGAACAACTAAACTAAAATGCAAATCAACACGAAACAATTCAAAACACACAAAAGCAAGAGAAATAATTTTTTTTCTTTTTTTTTAATAAACTCAATAGCAACAAAATGAAAAAAAAAATAACACCAAACAAGTAGAAAGAGAGTTAGAAATGCTCAATCAAGAAGCTTTGGCAATTCTGGAATTCGCACAGTAGGCTCTCTGGAGACAGTGAACTTGTGAATTTTCTATCAGCAAATCCACATGATAAATTCCCCTGAAACTTTTATGAGAAACACAAGATATATACAGGAAAATTATATAAAACTTTCAGATTAAAAATCCTTCCCAATCGTTCCCAGAATTTTTCACAAGTTGGTCCTCAGGTCTGGAGAAACAGGATTTCGTCCAGAAGACCTTCAGAGCTTCTAACAAACTTTCAAATAGGAAAATGGAAAAAATTGAAGAAAATCCTAAACACAAGAAACAAAGATAAGACAGTGATAAGAAAAATGAAACTGGAATCAATCAATTTGAACGCACAAAGAGGAAGATATGCTAACTCAAAGTTGAAACAGGGTTTTGGGAATCCTCTGTAATGGCTCCCTGGACCTTGTTAGATTGTAAAATTTCCACAGGACACTTCCCACGTCCAAAATTGACCAAACCAATTTTAAAGTGAAGCTAAGATATAGAGCTTTCAATGAAATAAATTTCAAGTTCAAATTCCCTCACAGACTCATTCCCAGTTAATTTTTCAATTTCAGACAGAGACACTAGAAACAGAGTATTTTCAGCTCTACACCAAACCAACGAAAATTGCACTAATTTTTTTTTCTTTTTCAAAACAGAATAAAAACACTCAAAACACACAAAAAAACACTAAACAAAACACAAAACACAAATTTTTATAATTTTTTAAAAAATTTTCCAGGAACACTAAAAATGTAAATTAAGTACTAAACAACCTTAGAATTAAACTTAAACCATTCCCCGGCAACGGCGCCAAAATTTTGATAGGAAATTAGTCGCTTATCCTCAAAATTACACTAAAGCTAACCCTAATGCAATATAGGGCCAACCCTAGGTCATCTCCCAAGGAATGGTTTTAAGTCTAATTGAAAGTTATCTAGTGAAATAAATCAACCAAAGTTTGTAGGAATTTAGTTACCTAGCTAATTACCTAATATGCAAGTAATTAAAATGCTAGTGAAAGTGAGTGAAATGAACTTCCCTTTTCACAATAATGGAACCCTAGAGATTAGTTGATTTTGGACTCATTATCTTCTCATGATTAGGCTAAGTTTAGCTTCCCTTTCCTCTTGACTAAAGCTGTCATGACTTAAGAAAATTATCCTAAGCCAATTAACCTAATTAGCTAACCTCCCTAGGTCTTAGATTAAAGTCCCTAGTTCAATTAACCAATTGGTGAAGACATTAGCCAAGTGATTCACTCAAAATCCTCTCTCAACAGCCATGGTCAAACACATAAATTGAGCAACCACAAGATTATGTCAAGCTACTCAACAACACAAGCATTAACACCACAAGATTATGCAATATTAACACAAGAAATTCACTAATTGAAAAACACAAGATTATGTGCCAAACAAAGAGTGGCAAAATTCAGTCATGGCTGTCCAAGGAAGAAATTAAATGAAACAATCCTCTCTCTTTACATCAACATCAAATTCAAATTAGAATTTATAAGCTAAGATGATTAAACCCTAGATTAAGGAATCTAACCATCTAGTAAAAAGAGAAGAGGATAGGAAACAAAAGAACTTAGCCAATTTGAAGCTCAAGACTCATCCTCCATCTTCATCTCTCTAGGATTCCACAAAGAAACTTAGCCAATCTTCATCTTCAAGAACCCTAGTGATTGCTTGTGAAGGCCAAACTCCATAGCTCTTGAATGATGGAAATGAGCTTCAATCCTTGTGAAAATGGAAGGGATGGAACGAAAATGAAGAGAGGAGAAGAATGGTATGAGTTTTGTGGAGGTTTGGTGGCTGAAAATGGAGGTTAGGGTGCTGGAAAATGAAGAACAAAAGAGAGAAAATGAAGAACACTATGAACAAGAGAGAGAGAGAATGTGGAAGATGAATGAGATATGTGTTGGATCCCATTTGGGGCTTAAAATGGCGTGCTCCTTGGTGTCTCCCATCAGCTGAAGCTTAATTAAAATAAGGAAAAAGAAATTAAAATGTAAATGGGAGCCTTGTCACACTTGCAAGGTGGCAACTTCCTATTGGTTTGTAGATGATTCCAATGTGTGCCTAATTTTCATGTGTCATCCACATCATTTTAGCTGATTTAATCCCTCAAAATAATCATAATTCACGTGCAAACCATCAGCCATTGACCTCAAGGAGTGTTGACCTCAATTGCCCAATTGATGCACAAGTCACATGCCACCTATGTCACATAAATCACATAATTCAATTAAATAGCATATGATATAATAAAATCTAATTCATGTCCAGAATTAAATTCATAATTAGAAGGGAGAATTTATTAAATTAACCAAGTTTCAGGCTGCACAAAATTATATAAAAATTTCCACACAAAGGCAAACCAAAAACTAGGACAAACTAAGACACTTAAGAAAGTGTTGACTTTTTTTATTTAATTACTCCCAAACTAAAATGAATTTTAAAAATATAATTTCACCATTCATCAACTGGACATAAAATGCACTTTGTCAATTTTTCTTGTACATTTTCTCAAAAGTTTATTTTTTTGGACCAAAATGCCCCTAGTGCACTGAACCTAGAAACTTAGGCAAATTACAAATCTAATGCAATGTGTGCACTTGAAGGTGATAAATCATTAATAAAAGTGTCCTAATTGACAAATAAAAGTGGGTAACAAATGTGTTCTATCAATGATCAAAGGTCAAAACTGATTTTTTGCACACTTTTCTTTTCAAAGCTTAGACTTCAAGTTTTCATGAATTTTTCAACTTAACTCTATTTTGAGTAAATAAAACAACTTTGAAAACTTTATGGAGTTAATAATCAAAACATTTAAAACCTTGTGAGATACGTGATTAAAGATGAAAACCATGATTATAGAAAATTATATCTCACTCTTTCTCTTAATAACTAAAATGCATTTTTTGTTTTAAGATATCTTAAACTAATATCTCATATCTAAATCAATGAGTTTAACATAAAGACTTCTAGCCTAATGATATTATACCTATCAATTCTAAGGCTTCTAAGGTATATCCAAGTTTGTATGAATATCTTCATTCTTTTTAAGCTCTTCTCAGATCATCCTTCTCTTTATCTTTATGTTCTTTAATAATAAGTGTAGCATGCAAATGATGACTTCAATTTGTTCCTCTTCATGCTTACTCTCATCTTCACTTTGGACAACCTTAAATGATACATTATGAGTGGAATGGTTAGTCCAAGTATCAATATGCATATATCCAAGTTATAAAACATAATACTATGAACACTCTTAGATAGAGAA